ATCTATACCTTCGTCTCATCTCTACTGCTATTCATTTGTGAGCAAGCACTTGTCCTTTCGTTTGAGTGTCGCAAGTCCAATTGAGTGGAAACATAACAGTTGGTATCAAAGCTGGGCATACTTGCTTGGCGCAAGGTTGTTGAGCTGCCCTAACCCTAATTCAAGGTGAGTAGGGCATATAGATTCAATTAGCACTGGCTTTAGGGAAAGGGGGGCAGCAAGGAGCATGGGAGCTGCCCCCACCTGGATTGAGGGAGAAGAGAGTGTGAGAGGTGCCTCACACCTGGATGATGAGCGAAAGGAGGACCTGTGGTGACCTTTGCCTTCTCTTCAATCGGGCGAACATGGATATGGAGCGCCTGCAGTTGTGCTGCATGATTATTGGTTGCTGACTGGTATGTGGTGTACTTTGGTGTAGAGTAGGCCCTCCTAGTTTAGGTATACCACAGTAGAAATTGCTGGGCTAGGTCAGGAGGACACATGTGAGGGGGAGGTGAGTTGCTATCTACCTCAAGCGTCCGGACAGCGCAGCGAAGTGTCGTATAACTGTGGGGTGCCCTTGGTTGAGTGCATGGTGCTGGGATGCTTTTTCGTGTTGAGCTCGCGGCTCTTTTCCTACTACATGTGATCTTGGCTGATGTGAATGTGTTTGCCTATCAGATGAATGCGAAGTGTCTTTTGATTTGTAAAAGTTTGTCTTTGTTGATGCTCTCATCTTACATTCTGATCTTGGATGAAGTTGAGTACATCTGAAGCTTGTCCTCTCTTTCCAGTCACTCACTCGGGACGAGGAATAGGAATAGCATTCAAGGTCTCTCTCTTCTGGAGGAAAGGCTCCTTCCTATTTATGAGAAAGTGTGTAGAGTTGCCAGCCTACCTGGGGGCATGTGTACCCAGTGGGGGACCCTACTTCAGCAAGGAGAGATTTTGTGAATCATGAGACCTTGGTTATGATATTCTGCAAATCCTGACACTAAGTGTGACGGTTCTCTTAGCTTGCAAGCTTCCACTCCCTCAGCTCCCCAATGCTCTGTCTTTTTTGAAGTTTTTTCCTTTTTTTTTTCCTTTTGAAAATGCAGGCTGTCTTCTCCTCATCGGGGGAAAGCTGGTTTTACTATTCTAGTTACTTCTACGAGGCACAAGGCCTCGGTACGCCCTACTGGGCCCTGTTATCAGCAAGGTTGGCCGCCCTAAGTGAAGGCAGGCCTGAGCTAGGCCTATTTTGGACTACCACGCAACTGGGGGGAAATTCAGGCAGTTGAGCAGCACAGGTTGGTTCGCCCAGGACCAGGCTTCCTCTATCATATGAAACTGAGGCAGGCCCTGGGCCAGATACGCCGCATGGACCGAACACAGGCTGCGGGCAGTTGAGCACAGGTAACAACCACAGGCCCTGGGCCTGATTCGTTTGGTCTGAGGCTCAGTCTCTTGGGGCCTACCGGAAGCTTCTGGGCCGAGGCGCAGCACAGCCTGGCCGCATGCAGCTGGCAGGGCACTCCCATATAGGAAAGGTCCTGCCCCCGCATTCGGCATTCAGGCACTGGCTGCATGCTACGCTAAATGCTGGCCAGGCTCACACGCTCACGGGCGAGCAGGGAGAGGCAGGTAGCCATAGCTGAGCTGCGCTGCATAGCTGGATGGGGCGCATGGTGGTCCTTGGGTCCACGTGCCAACTGTGAGTGCGGGATCGAGGTTGTGAGTGATACGAGAGACTTACCTGGTGCTTGAGGCGAACGGCATTGGCCGAGATGTGCTCGTACTTCGGGGAGCTGTTGACATCACCAGCGGCATTGTAGATAGGCTAGATAGGATCTGCCACTTGTAGTCTGGGTGCAGGGTGCGAGATAGGATGTTTGAGATTCGTTCATTGTTGGTGATGATGAGACTATTCCAACATTGTCACTTGTGAGCTTTTGCTGTGCTCTTATTTGGTGGAACTCGTGTTGCATATCTGCTTTTGGTTCGAGGTCACGACTATCTGGTCTCATGTGTATGATGCTGCTTGGTTTCTGAAGTTTGCTACCGCTCATTTTCCGTGCACTTCTCTCATCATTTCTTTTTAACCTCACACTACCTAATATACACTAGGCCTAGGAGACAATCCTAAGGGTTATGGGTCTACCAGACACTACCTACTGTGCAGCAACCACCTCTACTCTATGTGGAGAGCAGTATCCTAGTAGCTCCTAACACCTGGTGCCAGCTGGAAAGTGCCTAAATCGCTTCCACAACCAGCCAGGAGGCCCAAGCCAACCACCTCCGCTGGTGAACCCGAAGCATACCCCAGGCGCTCTAACTGTCTCAATTTCCTATTTACGGTCTATGGCACCAGGAAAGTGCCTAACTCGCTTCCACAACCAACCAGGAGGCCCAAGCCAACCATCTCCGCTGGTGAAACCGAAGCATACCCCAGGCGCTCTAACTGTCTCAATTTCCTATTTCCAGTCTATCTGACTCTGGATCTTTGTTACGTTGTGTACGAGCGGATCTCATGCATGGACTGACAAAAACTCATATTCTACATCAAACCTCATCTGTTTTGACTGTGACTCTCTAGTCCAAACGAATTGCTGTTCCAGCTAGGAGTTTTATCTTCCTTTTTTCTTCGCACTGTTTCCTTCTCTTGAGTTTGGTTAGATGGCTGAATCGCATAACCAAAAGATAGAAAGAATGAACAGGGAGAGAGAGAGAGAGAGAGAGAGTGCATGTCTTGAGGAACTCATTCAATCTGTAACCAATCTTGAACCCACGGAGCTCTAGCTCCAGCCACAAGACCAACATGGCGAATTGGCCTCTGAGCAGCCGCGTACCCTCCTAGACAATGCTCCCAAGTTGTATAGCCAGCTCCTAAAGCTGCAAGAGGAAGCAGAGAAAGCCAGTGAGGCATAAAGAAGGAAGGACACTAACGCACAAAAGGTTAACGTGGGACGACAGGGAAGAAGTAACAAGCAAAATAGTCTCTTACATCTGGGCCATAGCAAATCATATTGTTGTGAATGAAACTGATATGGACCTCGCCAAGGCTTTTAAACCGCAAGTACACGCCACAAGCAAAACTCGGAGGGGCCGCGCGGCGTGGGGCGCCGTTGAAAAAAAAAATCGGCAACCTCCGAAGTGGTGCGGGTTTCATGCTGACACCCGCGGGCCAATGTGTGGTGTACTGGTGCTTCAAGGCCATAAAGAACCTGAGCAAAGACGGCTTGGATCTGCATAAGGAATTGAAGACTTGCGCAAAGACCAAGTTCTCAAATCGCTACCTCTACTCAGAGTGTTCTTCCCACCCCTCTTCTTCTTCTCTAATCTTGACACCTGCCCAATCAGGGTAGAGCTGAGCTGCAGCAAGTGCAGGTCCCATAACCACTGCAGCCACTCCAAGGTCTAGAATATCTGCAAGTGCTACAGGTTCAAATACCTCTCTTGCCACCATTGCTCCCTCATTCAGCCAGCCACGTGTTGGCAAGAAAGAAGCCTAGCTGCCCCACAAGTGGTTAACAGGGAGCCCCACTTCCGCCCGTGGTTAACACCCCCAACACTGAAAAGCTATGTTGGGTCACCGCCCGGCCCTGCATGCCGGGCCAGGCACGCCCGGGCCAGTTGGGCAGAGGGGGGGTCACCCGGCAAAACCAGACGGGTCAAAAAAGAGGCAAGGATGCCAAAAAAAAAAAAAAGACTTCAGGCCAGGACTGCTCTTGGCCTAAGCAGTCAGAATCCGGTCTAACTTCAGTTTTGGTGATGGGTCATCCAGGCGGGGTTGGGGGGTATAAACAGTGAAAGGGCTTCAAAGGGTACATTTGGACTCATGTTTTCTCATTTATTTTTATCTTGAAATCAACAAGGAATTTCGAGGTGGCCCTCAGCCAAAAGCTGACGACTATTCAGCTGCGTGCCCAGCTCAACTGGCGTACTATTATCTCGCCTTTTACTAAAGAATACCGTGGGCTGAGCACACTGAGCAGCTTATCACAATTTTTAACGGCCCTTCGCTCCGCCGAAAAGCCGACGACTTTAAGCCGTTTGTATTGCAATTTCACACAACATTTTTTTTTTCGGATTTTTTTTTTTTTTCCTTTCTATTTTCCAAAATATTATGCGCTGGGATCACCCGGGACACTGCCGGTCCGGGCCACCGGGGAGGGTACCCGGGCGACCTTCCCCCAGCCGGGGCCACCCGGGGACTAACACAGCTGAAAAGTGCATTTGGGGAAATTCTTTTTCAGTTTTTTTTTGTTTTTTTTTGCCCTGTTTTATTTTTGGTCAAGGTCTGTTTGGTGTTTGTTGGTTGGGGTCTTGGAGATGACTGTTTTGGCCAGCCCTGAAAAAACTGAAAAGCGCGAATTTTGCATGAAAACACACTTTTGCCTTGGGGTTTTAGGCCCCTTCCATCCATTTTTTCAACTTTCTTTTTTTCTGTTGGTTTACTTGGTGTCCACTCTATGGACTGGTGACAAAACTGGCTAAAAGCACTAGTACATACCAGCTATCGTTCATGGGCCCCTTTCGGAGGCCGCCCGCCGCCGATGCATTTTATCTATAGAGCTCGGCCTCCTAACTTTTCGAAGAAGCTCGAAACAGGTTCTCCAGTTGCCCGTGGCCATGTACTGGTGGTTTAAAAGGTGTGGGACGTTTGTTATAATGACCCTGAAAAACCCTGGAAATTTAGGGCTCTGTTAACCTCTTCTTAGCTGCCCCCCTGATATGATGACAAAACCAATGTGGTCTCTTGGATTAGGAAGACGAGGACTTACTTTCACCTGTCCCACACTGCAGCAGAGGATCATGCTGCACTTGGCCAGAAACGTAGCGCCCCGAGTCTCTAGTTATTCGGAGGCTAAGGCTGCAGAGGTGGGCTGTTGTTAAATAGACTATGACAAGTGGCTCCAGGTCACACCTGTCGCTACAATAAAAAACCTACTCATTGAACAGTATATAGAAAGGCAAGCCGCTTTAAACCACCAGTACACTCACACCTAAAATCCCGAACCTACCTGCCCACTGCGCACCACTATTTTCTGAGCCTTCTGCGTGAGGGTACCTGCAGTGGGAATTTTGGAAGGGCACTGGTGCCGGCAGTCTGCCTGAAGGGAAAAAAGAAAAGAAAAGAAAAGAAAGAAACAAACATGCCAGAGAGCAATGATAGGGTGAAAGGAGGTCATGGAGGCCATATGCAAATGATCACTTTCCTGAATGCATCTGGCTGCTATTACGGGGAGAGGGAAACTGTGGTGTTTTTCCTTCTTTTCTCGTTTTGTTTTTTTCTTCCTGGCCCTGCCAGCAAGGCAGCGCATATTCCTCTTGCTCAAAACGCCCTCGCTGAGGGCATACTCACACTAGCGACGTTGAAATGCATCCAACCACTTTCACGGCCAAAGCATTGTTGGCTTTTTTTTTGTGTGTTCTTTTTTTGAGAGTCCGACAGTCCTGCTCCCCGTGTTCTACGTTCTGCTGGGGCGAGGTACCACTAGCAACGGGATAGGATAGAAACGAGTTTGTGGGGCAGTTGAGTGACCCAAATCCTGCCGTGCACTACTCGTGATCCCACCGTCAGTATTTTACATGTATTACCCGAAAAAGTAAGGAGATCTTTGTTCCCCTCCTCCTCTCCTTAACACTGGGCATGCCCATGCAAAGACAGCTTCCCGCCAGAATCTTTTCAATCCGTTGGGGATGTGGCCAACCCCAAACGAGGTTGGGGTCGGCCTTAGCCCACTGGATAGAAGATTTTCAGCATTTTACTTGCTGTTGTGCAATTATCTCATTGGGTAGAGCCCTCCTTCAATCACGGAGTATATGGAGGGTGTCAGGATCACTGCTGTCAGAAGTCGAGTTTATTCCAGAAAATGTGGCGGTTACTTTGTTCACTGTTTTTGCAACCACCACCATCAGATCATTTGCGATCTGATGGCTGGGAAGCAATCTGCCGTGACTTCCTGTGGGAGGTCTCTGTTTCTTTTTTTCTTTTTGGCCTTTTTCCTGTTTTCCCAGCCCAGAAATTAGTAATGAACTTGTCTGGCCGCTGCCACTCAGTGTCACACTGGATCGGCCACACTCCTATCCGACTGCTAATGGGACCTCGCCCCTGAAGTGCCCTCACTGAGGGCAAACTCGCACCAGTACTCCAAAAAGTGTATCCAACTGCAATCACGGCCGAAGTCTTTTTTTTTTTTGTTCTTTTTCTGAGAGTCCAACAGTCCTGCTCCCCGTGTTGTACGTTCTGCTGAAGTGCCCTCACTGAGGGCAAATTCGCACGAGTACTCCAAAAGTGTATCCAACTGCAATCACGGCCAAAGCTTGTTTTGTTTTTTGGGACGTACGGATTTGAGATGGGCCCAAAATTTTGAAAACCTTCTGACGCTCCGACCCTGCCCCGAGCCCGCCTTTTACTTCTTGTGGCGACAAGTTATTTTGCTGCAAGGCTGAGGCCGTGTACTGGTGGTTTAAAGGCAAGGCAGGCAGCTTACAGGCCACACGACTCGTGTTGGAAAGGAACCATGCAGGACCTACATGCTGAGGTCTCGCAACTCTTTGCTACACCTGGCATCAATCTAGGCGAGGATCTTTGTATGGACATTGTCCGAGCTGTTGTCCCCCATCACTACATTCACCAGTGAGGGACTTCAAAGTTCTCCCACTGGAACAAATTTCTACAGGAGAACATTGGAGATTGAAGCCTATGACGGTGCCAGGGAGAAGACACACTTGACTGCAGACTTTGCTAGGAAAGTCTTTGTGCCAAGAAGATCTGGTGCCAGGCACTATTTTGCAGCACACA